GAAGCGGTTCAGCTGCCGGCGCAGCATGGTGGAAGTGCCGCAGCGGCGGGGAGAGAAAGCCGAGGGGCGCGCAGGGGCGGCGCAGCGCTGCGCTGCGGGCCTGGCGGGCGAACCGTGCCCAGCCGGGGCGAGGAGACCCGCAGCGGCCCGGCTCCCCCGCCCTTCTCCAAGCCCCCGCTCGGCCCCAGGCCGGGGTCACCGGCGGCAGGGCGGCGCGCTGCCTCTTTTCCGCATTGTGCAGCAGCCTCTTCTTCTTCTCCTTCTTCTTCTTCTTCCCCGCCGCCTCTTCTTCTTCCTCCTCCTCGCGCCGAGCCGCAGCCCCCCTTGCAGGAGCGCCGAGCCGAGCCGAGCCGAGCCGAGCCGCTCAGGCTGGCCGCAGGCGACCGCGGGGCGGCATCGTTGGAGAGGCGGCGGGGGCGCCGAGAAAAGCGCGCTGCCTTCCGTGCAAGGAGGAGAAGGAGGAGGAGGAGGAGGCGGCGTTTCGGAGGCCGGAACGCCGCCCTGCAGGCTGGCCGAGGCGCAGGCGGACCCAGCCGGCGGAGGCGCGGCTCCCCAGACCTGTCCGTCCCCTCCTGGCCGGGCGCCTCCTTCCAAGCGCGCCTGGCGCACCGCCCCGCAGTTCCCAGCCCTGCCCGCCGCCGCTTCTCCAGGCGGGCCCTCGCCTCTGCCCGCCCCGTCCCATCCCGAGAGCAGCTCGGGAGGTGTAGTGCCGGTGTTACCGGCCCCGGGACGAGCGCTCGGGGCATCCCCCCTCTGCTTTCCCCGGTCGCCCAGGTGCGCAAAGCTGGAGAGAGAGAGAGAGAGAGAGAGATGCGCCTCCGGGCAGGGATTTTGGCCGCCAGGTGCGCCTCTCCCGGTTAGAGCCGGAGCTGTTGCCGTGCCCGGCCGGCCGAACCGAAATTGATTCTCCCAGAAATTGACAAGGAAAAAGGAAACAAACAAAAAAAACTCGGAAAGTCCCAGCAAAAGAGCACGGAGATTTATTTTCCCAACAGTTCAGCATTGGGGAAGGAGGAGGCAGAAGCGGGGCTTCCTCGCCGATCCCATCCGAGGCGGAGGGTTGGTTGGTGACTTGATCTCGCTGCCCCCTCCTCGTATAATGGTACACAGACATCTTCCTTGGGCAGCGGGCTGGACTAGAAGACCTCCAAGGACCCTTTCAGGCCTCTGATTCTATGAATAATCAGCTCCAGCGAGGTATGGGGGGGGGAGTCTTTTCCATTCTTTGCTCTTACCTGGTGAAGTTTTCAGCAAGGTGTACCCCCTCCCAGGCTGGGGAAGCTCCCTCTTTCTCAGCCCAGCCTACCTCACAGGGCTGTTGTGGATGAAACAGGCCAGGCGGTGTTCTGAACTCAGCCTGGAGCCTCGTGGCAGAGAAGGGGGGAAGTAGGGATCTCACAAGTAAATAAAGCTCATCCAGCTGGGTCGAGGGTGTTCGGCACACTGGCTGAAGTGAGCTGCAATAAACACAGTTTGGGCGCCTCTTCCTCTTCCTCTTCCTCTCTCCAATCAGCAGATTTTCCTGCTGATGCAAAAACTGCCTTGAATCCACACTTGTTAACTTGCTCTGCCCAACTGTGCAAACACACATTTGTGAAGCGTGTGTTTACCCTGTCTGGCAAGTGACCCAAAGTTTCTTGAACTGGTTCCTCAAGTCTTGATCTGAACTAAAACCAAGCCTTTTGCCTAGAGGGCTGCAAAATTTCAGGAAAAGGAGACCACCAGGAATGGAACCCAATGCCCAGGTGTGGGAAGACCAATAATTCTTCTCCCACCATTGGGGAGACTTCCCTACCCTTCGCTTCAAGCTGTCTCTAGGCAGCTGGCCCCACTTCCAAACCCTTTTATTTTATTTCTTACATGATATTTGGTATTCTGCATTTTAATCACGCCTAGCCCCTTAGCTTGGGTAAAAACTCAAGTCTCTTTTGAGCTGAACTCAGGGCGGGATCGTTTCATAAGCAGCTCCACCTTGTTTTCTCAGCAACTGGAGGGAAGTGGTTTGCTGTGGGTCTCCTTTCATTTTCCAAGTCTAGCCTGTATTCTTGGGATTTCCTTGTGGTCTCTTTTCCAAAGACTGATCAGCCCTGAGTGGGCTTAACTTCCAAACTCAGACAACCACAGCCAAGATCTGTTCCCTGCCGAGACCCTTGAATGGCGAGAAATAGATAGACCGTAAGTTAAATAGCTTTTTCATTAATGAAAAGAAGAAAGCTGGCAGGATTTCTCTCCCTCCCTCCCTCCCTCCCTCCCTCCCTCTCTCCCTCTCTCTCTCTCTCTCTCTCTCTCTCTCTCTCTCTCCCTGTTGTGTGTCTCTTTGTGTGTGACTGGAGGAAAAGGGAGGAGTGGCCAATGATCCCAATGGCTAAACCTAAATCTGGGGCTGTGAATCCACAGCTCTACTGATTATTCCAGAAAGGAAAATCTCCTTACAAACTGGAGGTGTCAATTCTACAATGAAGACCACAAAAGATTAAAAGGCCTTCCTTTTTTGTCTCCCCCCCCCCCCAAAAAAAAAGGAACAAGCTGATAAGGAGGCCAACCTAACTGGAAGAGAGAAAGTGGAAGGAGGTCTTTCTCATTATCTAAGATTTAGAAGGGAATGCTCTTTGGAAGATTCGCAGGTGCAGACAAAAGACTCTCCCAGGCACCCCTTTTTTTTTCTTAAACACAACCCACCATTAAAACCCCTTCTGGAATGTGACAAGGGTCAAAAGTTTAATTGGGATTTAAACAGGAGGACACAAAAATCATCTGGTCTTTGGGGAAGAAAGGTGTTAAAATGCTAATCTCTGTGCGAATTGCAGATCGAAGTTTCCTGGGACTTTTTTTTTTTTTGGCAAGGATTTCCAAAGGGAGATGGGCTTGATTGAGAGTTTGCAAATTCTGATTGGAACCAGATGGGCCGGGCCTTTCTTCTGATCTACTGGTCCATCGGGATGGTGCTCTTGCTTTGCTCAAGATGTACCTTGGCCTTGTCATCCTTAGACCTGCATTGTAGAGTTGTAGACCCCACGGCTGGGGTCAGAGAACCAGGAGGAGCTAGGAGGAATGATGATAGAGTGAAGAAGCAGGAATAGATGACATCTCAAGAAGGCCAACCTATTAGAAGATGTCCTGTTTGGGACCTTCTCCGGCCACATGAGGTCCTGGTTTCCTTTCTCCTCCACTGGGCAGAGATGATGCTGTCAGAATGTTGTCAAGAATGCTGGGCGTGTCACGGATTTCCATGGCAAAGTCGCTATGAAGTCAGCATGGGGAGAAGTCAAGGCTGAGGAAACCATGACCAGCTTTTCCAACACTTTCCTACTTTTCTCCATCTTTTTAAGGCCACACCTGTGTCAAGGTAGGGGGCCCTCGAAAGGGGAAAGCAGACAGGGTGATTCTTCTGCGTGGCGACCCCACCAACCTTACCTGCTGGACCACTTGAGGTCTTCAGATGTTCTAGGTTTCAGCTTCCAGGAAGCCACTTTGGCGTCCATCGTCTATGGAGATGGGGTGTCCACAGGATATGGTCCAAGAAAGCCAAGATGGGGCCCCCAATGGTGCAAAAAAAGGAAATTCCCATGTGTTTGATGGGTGTTGCACTTCTGCACTGCAGCTAAGCTTGTATTGAATGAGGAAGCAGAATTAGCAGGTACAAAACCTGTGCATCTCTTTTGACTTGATGTGAAATGAAGCATCATGGCTTCCTTCCCCCAAAGGTTCTTGGGACTTCATTAAGGTTATAGAAGTTCTCACTCTCAGAGCTCTGCTAACACCAAGAAGGGGGCTGCCATCTGAAATCTTGGTGGGTGAGCGTCGGAAGCTTCTTGCAAAGCTAGTATAAATTTTATATAAATTCAGACAGAATTGAACCTTGCTGAATAAACGCTTCGCAATCCAAAGAGGCAATTTCCCAACATTTCTTAAAATAGCAGGAAAAGATTCCTGCTTGTTGACATTTTGGGGTTGGATAGAACCAGAGGCATTGCTGGGAAGGATGCAGCTTCTGTGGTCCTCCTAAAAAGATATGTATGATGATAAGACTTAGCAGGTGGCGATATGAGCTGAGCTCAGAAGCTAGGTTGGCTGGAACTAGGTTAATTCCTGGATGAGGGACCATGAGCAAATTGAAGGCTAATGGCCATTGCAGGAAGACAAGAATAAATCCCTTCTGTAATGTGGTTGAGAAAGTTGCCCAGCTGTGCCGTGATGTGTCTTCCATGAGATTAGCAGAAATGGAACTTCATTGGAGATGCCACCTCATTTCTATGGCCAGATCAGAATGGTCCACTGGAAGACTAGAAAGGCTAGACTAGAAAGCCTAGAACCCTCTGATGGTTCCATCTCTGGAACTGGTCATGTGATGGATACCTTGGATGAAGTTGTAGGAAGGGGTTCCATATCTCCACAGCTTCTCAGACTTTCAGGTCTGCGGGAACAGCTGTCTTAACAATGGTCCTGCATTCAGAGCCCAGGAGAGAAGTCTTCTTCTCCACTGCTTCCAGTCACTAGTCTTGATTCCCATCTTCTTCCAAAACCAAGTCTTTGGAAATGCTTGAACGATTACTGTATCCATTCATATTTTTAGTTGTTTTTGTCATGCTGTGCCTTTGATTTCCAGCTCTGGGTCAGCTAGAGTCAGATGGATGGGAAAGTTAGTCCAATGAATTAACTAATTAATTAAGTAGCACTTCTGCTTTCAACCAACTTTTCTTTGTTAGAGGACTCCATGGAGAAGCAGAGAGTCAAGCTAGATCTCCTCATCGGCATTATGTGTCTGTTCATGGTCCTCTTGATCTTTCTGATCGTTGGATGCCTCTTGCTCCACTTCAGACTCTTCAGTAAAGACATGTGAGTATGAACACCCACCAATGGCTGTGAGGAACTCAGCCTCTGTAGCTTATAGAATGAATCATAGTTTACACTCTGGCTCAGCTGCTGTCAGATAGTGTTTATAGCACGGACTACCCGTGTTTAATCAACCCACAGTGAAGTAAACCTTGACTTAACATAATAGGTTATCCTCTCTGATGGGGTGGAGG